TAGGACTAATCCTACGTCTAAGTTGCCTAAACCGTATTCATGACAAGGAGTATTATTCGGACGGTGAATTTATTGAACCTCCTGAGGATTATGATTTCACCACCAGAGTAAACTTTTACAATATTCTAAAATATACTGTTTTTTTTAATTTCGAAAAATAATTTAGTTTTCAGTTGAAAAGCTAGAAAAATGAATGCTGCCATTGTTTATTTGAATTGTTTACTTCTCTTTAAAACTTATCTGTAACTAAAGAATTTACAGATAATTTCTAAAATTGATCACATTGAGTTGACGGAACATACAGCGCTTACCAGTAAAGAATCACCTGCTTTGACCTCGGGCAACCCTTGAGAAATAAAGCGAAAGTTATCTCTAAACACTTGATTTGATTTTGAATGTTTGGTTTGAATTGTTTTTCACACTGATTAATTGACTGCTCTTAAAATGAACTCAAAATTTTAGCTTTAATTCAAAAATGTTTCAGATCACCCAGCTCTTCTATTTCTTATAGCGACACCAAAATAAAATTTAGCTATTTTGGCTTTTTTTGGAACATTTTTAAAGTTCAAAGGACTGACCTAAAAAATACTTTTTTAAAATACAAAGAATGTTACTTTTGTCTAATCTAATATCATAATCAAATTTTAAAAACCGTTTTCAATGTCTATGCTAATCAAATTTCTCCTAAAATGTAATTACTAATTTTAATTTCTTTATAAATGCTATAATGCTAGAAACAAGTACAGATTTTGAGCGAAGCTTTATTAATTGATACCTTTTTTATACTAAAGTTGAATGCAAAAATTTTTTACAGATTAATCTTTGACTATTTGTTGTTTTGAGGGAATTCCAAACATGTAACAAATTTGAAATACTAGATGTCCATCTAGTACAATAACTGAATATTATTTTTTCTTGATATCATTCATACATTTATATGCGTAGTCATATTTGCTTATGATTGAAAAAATAGAAACAAAATCATTTTATCACATAAGTTTGATGTGTTTATCAAATTGAATTACCTGAAGGTGACTTTAATTGGAATCAATCACAGAATTGCTTTTAATACCATTTCAATTACACTGCTAGAACCGTACTGAATTTGCATGCTGAAATGGGCGTTCTTTCTTAGTTTACGAATTACCTCAATCTGTTTTTACTTATTAGAAGCAGTTATTGAGTAACTAAGCTAGTTAGAAGGATGACAATTATCGTTAAAACGCGATAGTTGCTTAGATCAAATACGAAACGAATAAATGATCGAATACTGATTTTTGCTATTTACTTTACATCTAAATAATTAGTACTCATTGTGACTCAATGAAGAATGTTTTTGATGTAAATTTAAGATTTCAAATGTAATATGCTGTTGTGAGTGTTTTTATTTGCAAAGTAAAAGCGGTACTCACGTCGAGTTTTCTCATATTATAAGTGATATCTACTATCTGCTGTTCTAGTATATAAGTGCTAGAACTAATATTTCTAAGCAAATTTTAATTTGTCTCAGTGATTACTTTTCTAGAAATTTGAATTTATATTTTGCAGAGGAATTCGGCTTCAAAATTTTACCTCACAGATTTGTCGCCTATTATCTTTTCGTTGTCTTAAGTATTCTCTTCTCATTAAGCATTTTTGTCTTGACTAGAACTATGAATTCTTTGACGTAATTTTATTATTCATCCATGCTGATTTCCTTTTAGATAAGTACTTTCTTCTGCTTTTATCGATGAAATGAAATCTGTTTAATTTGATGTTAGTACAATTTAGACTGTATTGCGGCAAAAGTGAATAAATAAATAAATACAGTTTTAGCATGCATAATTACAATTTACCAACTTTATTATTTTAAAAAATAAATTTTTTGTTGCTTTGTTTTTATAAATTCTAAAAGAAACACCAAGTTGATCTTTAAAAGTTAATTTCAGCGATCATGTTTTTCAAAGTTATTTCTCGCATAAGTTATTTTTGTAATAAAAAACAGCACTTTATTACAGTATTTTGCGTTCATTCTTTCCAAGATCTTTTCGCATAAATAACAAATTGGTTGCGGAAATTAGTATTGAATAAATGATTGTAAGTCCAATTATTAGAGGGAGAAGACGACAAATGACATGAAACATGTCATACTGAAAATAGGGTCATTTTATCAAAGGGGAATAAGTACCACAACTTTGCAATGAGTTGAGAAAATAATTTTCATACTTAGCAGTGATAAATATCTGGTCTTGTAATGGACTCATATCATTTTAGTTCATCTGTAAGTCGATCATAATCAAAGATGCGTTTTTAATTATAGTTTGCTAAATTTAAACTTAAATAAGGTGCAATTCCTTTTTTACTATTTTACGAATTGCTACATTGCATTCATTCAGAAAGTGATAACTTTGTTAAGTTAGTAATTGTTAAAAGTTCACCTATTCAAATACAAGTGTAGAATTGCGCACGTGAAAAGAGTACGACTACTATTTATAGTAAAGTGAAGACATTTTTATTAAAGTAGAGAAATGTATAATAATTTGATCCAAACTGTAGTCATCTTCTGACGAAAAGGAACTGTTGGCATTAAACAAAAATTAACAACTGCTCAAAATTCGACACTTTCAGAGTACTAATTGATGTTATGTTTCCATTTCCCAAAAACGTCAGTAGAAATGGCTCTTCTGAAATTTAAAATATTTGATGTATTGCTAGTATTTATGGGTAGACTAATTGGTGTTTCGCGATTATATTCGTAAAAATTGTAAAATTTCAAGATTGGTGGTTTCAAATTTTGTTTTAAGCACTTCAGACAGAAAGATAAAATAGGATTAATGCATATCAAATTGCATCGAATTCAATCAGAAACTGGATCAACTCTGATTGCAGATAATTGACCGTTTTTGATTATGTGTAAATGTAAATTATGCATAAAATACAGGAAGCTAACCTTGAAATATAAGGGATTTAAAATTGTAAAATTTTGCTCTTATACTTGAATCCTCCTCGGCTTTGACTTCATATTTTTCTTCTCTCTATCATCTCCATCTTCCTGCAGTTTCAACTAATTTTGTGTAGTCTTGACGAATATTTCATGCTTTTCCAAGTACCTAAAACAAAATTCAAGCACTTAGCATGCCATCACTAGCATCTTCCTACTTGCGCTTGAAATACATTAACTAAACGTCTTATCTGCGTTCTGAACCCCACTGTTCATTATATACATCGAAATACAGCAAACTATTCAGATGAGAAAATAAAACTTTAAACTGCTCTTAACTACTACATCACGCTTCAGTCTCGTTATTATGTAACTATAAGTTTAATTTCAAAAGTTTCCAAAAAAATTCTTTAATAAATTTTGGAGGTAGTCAGTGAAGCCTTGCTTGCTTCATTTGAAATATATTTAAATCAAATGAATGAGAATGAATAATTGAAGAAGGCATAAAAATATGTTAATGAATGTTTGATGTGAACAGTTAAAGTTTCAATATTTATTATTCAATTAGAGAGCACTCATATTTCCATTCACAATCAATCAAATATATCAATACAAAATGTTTATTAAAATATTTTATTCCCTATGCTTGGTAGTCCTGTGTTTACTTTTCCTTGGCTTAGGCTTCATCATACTTTTCTTCTTTTTTTCACCCCCATCACCTCCATCATCCTATAAGTTTCAATCAACTAACTGAATAATTAATTAATTAATTAATTAATTAATTAGGTGAGTATTCGCATTTGCTTCCAACACCAAAACAAAAGCAATAAGTAGACAGAGTAAAGTTATAAAATTGTTTGCATACAGTAAAGATTTGTATACTTTAACAATTATTAATAAAATAAGCTAAATGACAACTATTTAAATTCTAATCAGTTGATATAAAAACAAACAAATTTTTTTCCTACAAAACTAGCCGCTGCGAAATTTGGACGTGGAGTGCCAGTGATTCGTTGCAGATTTTTAGCAATTTCGGCCATTGTCCAACGGTCGTTAGGATTATCTGACCAACATTTCACTTCTATTACACGGCGCATTTGAGGAGGTACATTGTCAGGCAATGGCATACGATATCCCTCTTTTACCTAAAAATTTATTTTATTTTGAGATGTTTGGTAAATATTTTTCTGATTCATAATTTGTAATGTTTTGTGTAATGCAGAACATTACGTTTATATCTAGCTCATGCACAAAAATTTTTTGGAAAACCAAATTCCAGGTGTAATAAAGTGGGAGTTAACTAAAGAGCTGAAAATTTTTAACGGCAAAAATGCAATGACATCACTACTATCGGTTTAATATCATAATTGATAAAAAAAATATCAGCATTTGTGAGATAAGTCTGTTTGTATGTCTAAAAGAAACCCACCCGAATATTAACTTCAGCAACAGTAAGTCCAGGATAAGGTTCCAGGCCATTAGAGAAAATCTCCCAGCACATAATGCCGAAACTGAATACATCCGTCTTTTGTGTATACATCGCTGTTCGTAATGTTTCAGGTGCAAGCCATCTTATTGGCACACGTTTTCTTGGGTCCATCTGATAAACTGTCCCTTCTCGTGTCAAGCCGAAATCACTTATTTTAACCTACGAATTTTCAGTCACTGCTTTTCGTTCACTTATTTTAAAAAACCTTTTTTTTTTAAATTTTTACTTGAAAATCTCAAGTGACATAAGTAATATATAAAATATGGTCAAAAACCAAGAAATATTTAGGATAAGATCAAAATACTATTAAGATTTAAAATAAATTCAAAATATTTATCTACTTCTCAAGCAAACTTTAATGTTTTCGCTCACTTCTCATTTAATGATTTTTTAGTCGAAACCTTTTTAACTTTAATTTTATCTAAAAGTTATTAAATAAAGAAAAAATTCAGTAAGTTGAAAAAGCTGCAATCTATGAAGTCAGTAATTAGCGCAGTTTTGAAGAATTATTTAAATTTCTCTTAAAAAAGTTTTCTTTTTGAAGATTTAAGCATTTTTGTTGTAGTTTTTTTACAACAGTTACTATATAATATACATTGCGTGAAAATAAAACCTTATTATCGCCAAAGAGGCAGTTGCGTGCAGCAATGTCACGATGCAGAACTGGCTTAGAATGAAGATATTCAAGACCCCAAGAAGCACCTAAGCACATATCCATCTTCTGCTCTACTGATACTTGATTCTTTTGCAAGTAAGAATCTAATGCACCTTTATTAGCCTAAATCAAAAATGATCTCTTATTTGATTTATGCAAATTTTGACAAATCCTATTTATTTATTTTCTTGAAAAACTGCTTAATTACTTTTTGGAATGTACTGAAAGAAAAGCAATAGCATCATTACCAATTCCATGACAATCATAAGCGGTTCTTGACCGGCAGCTACACCATAACATTTGCATACATTTGGGTGATCAAATGTTCTATGAAGACGAGCTTCTTTCATAATCTCTTTGATCTGTTCTTTAGTAAGGCATTCAAGTTTTGCCTAAATAAATTTTACCTTTTACTACATAGTGCAAAAATTTATACTCAGTGTTCGTAATAATTTGACTTCAAAAAAATACTAAAAATAAAAATAAATACCAATTTAATGGCAACATCAATTTTGCGACCATTTCGAAGTCGCAAACGTCCAAGATGTACTTCGCCAAACGCTCCTTCTCCAAGCTTCTTAGTCGGTTCGACATCTTCGTGGTGCAGTTCCCAAGGTTGTCGAGGGACAGGTGATGTCAAGTACACCTCTCCATTCTTCACCAAACTTTCATGCCTATTTAAGTGGAAATTTACCATTTCTGGCACACTATCAAAGCCATATTTCTCAATTGTATACTTTCCATTTGGTGTGCGTTGTATCACATAGTGTTTAATCTGAAATCCTATGAACTCTGAAAATTACTCTTTGTAGTGCAATGCAAAAAGTTTATTTTGAACATCTATAAATACATTTCAACTTTGGTTTCTTATCAAATATTTTTATTATTAATTATTCAGTCAGTCAACAAATCTATTTACTCATTCGCTTAATGCTATGCAATATTTATTAGTTTCTAAGCGCTTCTGCGCTTACAACTCATTCATTTTGCATATTTAATTTGCATCATTAAATGCATTAAAGCTAATATCACGTATAATAATGAGTTTTTGTAGATGTGCAGAAGATATTATTTCCAAAAGCATATCAGTTTTGCAAATTATCTAAATTTCAGGTTAAAAATAATGCACTAACAAAATATTACAATTTTTTGAAGAATAAATGATTGTTTTTGAATGAATTGCAATAATTATATGAGAGAAGTGTTTGTACCCCAAGTTCCTCTTTTTCTTCTGCTGCCATTACTGATATGACAAAAGCACGGGGTTGGCCAGCTACTGGCTCTGTTGTTCGAACAATGAACTCCCCATTAGATCGTAACATCATTTTGATGTCTTCACGTGGTAGTAATCCGTGGTAGTATTGCTCGTCTGCTAACGTTTTATCTACCATAATTTCTTAAAATTTTGCCCAAAACTTAATTACTTTAGCTAAATTGTTACTGGCTTGCATGCATTTCTCAGTTTTATTGCAGTTTTCAGTAATAAATATAATGCTAACAAATAATGAGATACATATTTTATACAAATGGTTTATGAGTAACATATAAGCAATAATAAAGCATAACTTTTTATAATCTTATCATTATTACATTTATAAAAGATTAATAAAATTGTTAATCGTTTCAAAATTATATGCACGCTTTTTATATACCTCAAATTATAGTCGCAAAATTGGAAATGAAATCTCATTCATAAATTACCAAACTTGGACAACTATCAAGCAGTCGATACAATTACAAAGATGAAGAATGCTCTTACTTAAAACCAGTTTGAATTTATATTATCAGTTTGAAGCTTTTTTTTACATAATTCAATTGAGAATTAGATCACCATATTTGTTATTTATATTATATTCATTTTGTGTGCATACTTATTACTAGTATGATGAATTTTGCATGTAGAAAATAATTCAAAACAATAATTGATTTGATGCAGCTAAAGTAAACGCAAGCAACTGATAAGTATGAGCTCAAAATTATTCATCTTGTAAATCGGACTCTCAAGACCAGTGCTAGTAAGCCAATAACTCGAAAACCGATCATCATAATGATCAGAATGATTGTATCGATGATTATGACAGCTTGCGAAGTACCCATTCCACGACGTAGTAATATGTCTTCTCCAGAATATGCTGGACAATTAATCGCAGATTCAATAAGTTCTGTTGAATTTTTGTCACACCCTTCAAAATTTACAAAGTAAAATCCATTTTTTTGTTCAATAATTTCGAAAATGAAAATTGCAAAATTTAAACTTTGTTGTTGATAATATTTATCAAGTAAAATTTATTTTTGATTCATATTAACTATTTATCTTGATTAAATAAAGTTGGATTACAAGATAATTTGTTGAGGATTATAAGATTAAAGAAGGCTAGTCTGGTTATTTTGATTTAATATGGTGTGACATGCAACAAATGTTTGAAATTTCATTTTGACTGTTATTAATACTTTTTGTTAAATTATATAACTTTAATGCAAACACTTCTCTTGATTAGGATGAATCTGAATAGACTCTAGATTAATACCTGGAATATGTTTATAATGAAGCCATTGATTCACTTGGAACGCTTCGAAACCAAATCGAAACCAAGAAATGTATGATATAAACTGATAATAAATGGGAATAGATTGGAAACTTATATAGAAGCCACCAAATACCAAATTGGGTAAAATGAAACAAGGCATATAAGTTAAAGCAAGGCTGTCACCACCGAAAATACATGCACCAGCATATGCTGAACAATTTAACATGAGATGCGTTTGATTTGGTTTTTCCTTGTTCGCTACTGCATTTTATCATTGTTACTATTACTTTAAATGAAAAGACTTACAAAATCCCAAGTTGATCTTAAAGTACAATTTTTTATTGTAATTTAATTTTTAATTTTAGTTTTTTACTTTCATTAGTAATAAATGCATGATGCTATGATATTTCTAATTAAATGATTATCTCAAGATAATAATAGTATTATAACATTTAATTATCATAGAATGATCAGTTACGGGATAAAAGCAAACAAACCAATCGAAATAGCTAAATTAGTAATTACAATAGTTAGAAAGCAATAAATAGAGAATGCTTCCAGCGTTAAACGAAGTCCTAAAACTTTGAATTGAATTTTTACAAAAGTAAATTTAATATCTTTCATTAAAAAAGTTATAAAGTATTTTTTCACTCAGTCGCTCAGTTATTAGCTGCTTTAAAATCTTGCTAAAATAAAATATGGCAAATTTTTAAAAAAAACTTAAAGCTGTTTTGTTTGAAGAAGTTTTTTTTAACAGTTTTTCTAATAGTAATGAAGTAAAGAAATTTACCAGTCATAAAATAAACAATAACTGCATAAATAATTGGAAGCATTACATATTCTGGTATCTGTAAATTAGAAAACCTCTTAGAATTAGTACATATTTTTAAACTTGCAAAATTTTTTTTCTCTGCAAAAGTTTAAAATGAAAAATAATGCTCACTTCTGCAACTGATTTAGCCAAATAATAAGCAGAAGCACTGTAAATTCTGGAACTGCGATGTTCACGCAAAAATATAGGCAATTCAGATGTGATAAGCTGAATATTTTACATATTCATGAAGGGAAGGAAAAGAGTAATAACAAATAGTACTTTCAAATTTTGATGAAATGAAAGAAATTTGCATAATTATATTAAAAAAATAAATAGTAGTTGCTATCATTAGAACTGTTGAAGATTTGCTTCTGAAATAAGTTATGACTGATAAGAGATAAGATTAAAATTGAAAAGGAATAAATTTAATTAAAAACTAACATTGATAGATGGAAAGAGAAACATAAAATTCATGTCGCGTACAGTATTATATAATAAACCTTCTATGTTCATTATAGTTGGCCCAGTGATTTGTGTTTGAAAATTCACCATGCCAATAATTACCGCGGTCACATAAAAAAATTTTGCTTAATAATTTACATTAAAATGTGCATAAATTTATAATTAGAACATCTCTGTTATTTAGATAAAATAATAAATTATTATATTTATTAAATAAACAAATAAACAACTTAACTAATTGATTAAAAAATAAATGCGATCAAGAAAAAGAGCAAAAATGTTAAAGTTTATATTATGTATAATATATAAATCAGTTTTAAGAGATTTTTTATAATTTTAAAGATGGAGATGAATTGTCATTCACTATAAATTCAGATTTTTTTATTTGAAAAAAGAATGAGCAATTTATTTTTTTAAGAATAATTAATGCTTACAATAACTTGAATAAATTTAACTTTCAGTAGCAATGGATCACGAATTGTTGTCAGAAATGAACGTTTCAGAAGGGTTCTGAATTGCGCTAAGAATGAAGCCGCATACCTGAGAAATACTTATGTTTTAAATATGTCTTATGCATTGAATGAAGTAAAAAATATTATAATGTCACTTCCGCAAGCTTTTAATTTACAGTTTTTTGACACAATTTCTCTACTCTTAAGTAGTGAATATTAATTTAACATCGTTTATTTTGGCATGCAAAATCCTTCAAAAATTATTATCAAAAGGTTTGCTCTTTTAAATATTAAACTGTATATCCCACTTCAGAACATTGTTAAATCTAACTCTAATTTGATATTTGCCCTGTGCTACTTCTAAATTTAGATTCAAGTTAACTACTATTAATAGCAATGCTAAGAACTCACAGCACGAAAAATGCAATACTTATTAAACACTTTAGATTTGATCTCAATTTTGTTATTAAAATGATCTGTAGTTCAAAATTTGTTCTGACTATGTTGGCATTATCGAGAAAATTTGATCTAATAAAAAAAAAATCTAATCTAAATCTGAAATCTAGTATATCTAAAAAACTACTTATTGCCGTATTTTAGGTATTTTAGATAAGCAAAATCATAAAATTTCAGACCCATTAATGCTACAAAAATAATGCTGCACTGTTCATTTTTTATCTGACCTTTGTAAATTTTAGTTTCTGATTAAATTAATTATTATTTACACCGAAAAAGGAAAACACTATTTGAAATGTACATAAGTGTTAGTGTTACATTTTCCGTGCTTTTAGATCGACATTTCCTAATATCTCTCGCTGGGATTCTTGTCCATGCGATTTTCGATACAATGCCATTCCAAGCGGTGATTCCTCGAATTTAGTCCAAATTTTCTGCAATATTTTTCTCGCAAAAAAAACTTACTTACGACAAAATTTATAGTAAAAAAGATTGTTACGATATTAACTATGCAATACCAAATGTTTCATATTTTGATAAACATTTTTTGCATATTTTTTTCTATACCAAAATAACACAGAACATAAAGAATGATAGTAACTGATAATTTAAACAATATAGACCTAATTTGTTTGATAATTTAAAATTGTAATGATGACACTCAGAATTTTTGCATGTATGTGTGATTTGGAAGAGTCTAATTTCATAAATTTCATAGAAATATGGATTTTGAAATTGAAACCAACAATTATCTCAGTAGTGTTATTTCTTCCAACTTGCAAGTTTGATAACGTTTTGATAACGTGATCTGCTGGATTATACGTTTCAGGACAAGAATATCCAATTCTAAAATTGTATTTAAATAGCAAATGCTTCACCATTAAATTAATACTTTATCGTCCTAGATACATGAAATCAAGTTCTGAAGTTCCCCTTAGTACAAAGATTAACTGTGAGCGATACTCTATATTATAGACCTCAGTTTAGTATTGCAGATTAGTGTGAATTAAAATAGATATAAAATACTATTTCAAATCAAAGATGAGAAAGTGATTTTGGCAAAAATGCGCTCCCCGGCCGGGAATCGAACCCGGGTCTCGCACGTGACAGGCGCGGATACTTACCACTATACTACCGAGGATCTGGTTAGGATGTGAAAAAAAATAATTATAAAAGTAAAACTAGCTTGCTGAAGAAGCTGCATACTTCATTTATGGGACCAAAGTATGACACTTTTCCCATTGTCATGAAGCAGACACTAAAATATAACAATTTTGTGGATTATTTGAAAATTTATAATAATATAACACTTTTTAGGTAGCTTTGATTGATAACTCTATTTGAATGATAAAAATAAGAAAGATAAGACTACTTCGAAGTAAGCAGCGGGAGATTTCTCGAAGCATGGATAATTAGTCATCAAAAGCATAAGCTAGAAATGACTGACTTGTCAAACATGCTGAATACTTGGCTAGAAGGTTGATGAATGGTTGTAATGATCGTTTTGCCTTTTTTGGCTAATTGCTGAAGGCAATGCACAACTTGAACAGCCATAAATGAGTCTAAACCAGAAGTTGGCTCATCACAGAATAAAATTGGTGGATCATTTAGAATCTAAAATATCCAATTCATTGTGTTAATGCTAAATGATTTGCGATTTCTGAAACTGTAATGATTTACATATATGATAAGATCATTTCTAGTTTACAAATACTTGCCTAACTGTATTCATATTACTGCATAATTATAATTTCTTATAATTTTTAATTTCTACCAAAAAGTTAACCATAAATAAAGTTATACTTCTAAGTTTTGTTATTTGTAGAACAAACGAAGTGGGATTTGTTACTGATAGCTACAAATTTTGTCACGTAAAGTCATACTTCACATGCGAATGCAAGACGTTTACTTTCTCCACACGAGATACCTTTGAGCCGATTTGTTATACCGATTAACGTTGTTTCACATCTCTTCAAACTAAGCTAAAAGCAAATTCATGTGAGCAAAAATAAGGATAAAATCGTTAGCGACCAAAAGTACTTTTTCATTACAAAAAATAGTGGAAAAAAATGCTTCTGAAATCTAATACATACTATGATCACTCACATAATATTTATGTGAGTAAACTGATAATTACCTAAGTTTATAATAGCAAAGTAAGAATTATTTCACTGACTTCTTTAAGCACTTGCTCAACTCGACGTAACCGTTCGACTTTTGAAACTTTGCGATCCATTCGAAGTTCAGCCTGAAATAATTGAGACTGTCTTCAACACTGCATAAGTATCGAATAATTCTTCTGGCATGGCAGCTCAAAACTGTAAAGTAATCTTAATATTGTAATAACAATTTTTTTCGAGCAATAAATTGCATTACAGAAAAAATAAGTTGCTCTCGAACAGTTAGTGTTCCGATGAATACATCATCTTGATGTACATAACAAGAAATGCGATGCATATCCACTGCTGATAACTGTTCCCCATTCACTAATATTTTGCCTAAATTATTATTGCAGTATAAATAAGCAATTAGCATTAGTAAAGATCATAGTGCATATGAAATATTGTGTTGTAAATATAACTGTGATCTTAAACAAAATGAAGCTGAAATACTTATTCATGAAATGACTTATTTATTACAATCCTTCAAATATTTTTGGAATCTCAGAAGAGTAAATATGAATAACCATCATCAAATTCAAGTTAAAATCAACTTAATAAATACTTGCGTTCGTCTGATTTCAATTCTCAAATTCTTTTCAAGATGTAATTTTTCATTTAAATTATTTAAATGTTTCCGAAATTTTCATACACGATTTGTATTCTTTTCCATTAATTACTCATCACATATTAATTAAAAGTAATGATAAAAATGAAATTTAATATTTATTTATTTATTTTAGTAGCATAAATACCTTCAACAATAAAATCGTTTGCCGCATTCATTGTCAGTGCGTTCAATAAAACTGTCTTACCTGTTCCACTGTAATTGGAATTATTATTTCTACTAAAAGTACTATTAAAATATTTATACCTTGTGAAAAACAGTGAATTTTTAAAGATATTTATTTTGAGTACAAGAAAATACCTGCTTCCCATAACAGCAAGCAAAGTTCCAGGTGATGCGTAGCCAGAAACTTAAAAAGTAATGTACTTCATAAAAAATATTCGATCTTTTAGATTATTGTTCAATAGTTTGGATAAGTTCTTTAATTTCAGAAATTTAATTGCATCTCAAATTCTTTAACATTTTTAACATTTTTGGTTATTAAAGAAGAATTGGTTTTATTTTGATCAAAAATAACGATAATTGAACCTTTGCTGAGCACAGTTTTCGTTTTTTGTGGTTTTGTACTAAAGCTAAAATATTCCAAGAATGATTTCTTTTTAATTGGTACTTTCACTGTAAGATCAGCCCAAGTGACCCTTTTACTTTCACTACCTGTAAAAATCAAACAAAATTTGTAATTGTATTTATCATATAAAAGTACATAAGATTTGTAATTATAATTGCAGAAACATTAAAATTAATCGCAAAATTGACATCATAAATTAAATGTTAAATATGTAAGCAACAATCAAATATATGAATAAATTAATGAGAATATAAACAACTTTTGAATGCAATAAAATTAATATTTTATCACTCAATCGTTCAATTTAAATGCACTTACTTAATGGCGGGCGTTCCAATGATTGAAGTGAAACATTTTTTACGATTTGAAGACTATTTTCTTGCTGAAAAAACTCTGCAAATTAACAAAAATAAACATTGTTCAAATTATAAAGTTTATTCCCTTTGACAATTTAAAAAGGGAACATTTTTATTTTTTACCTTTTGAGGTAAAACATTTATTAAAAAAATATATTTTATTATAAAAATAATTACAATTTGTTTTAGAAATATGAAAAAATTTTTGCTACGCATAATGTATGCGTCTTGTCATAAAATAGAAAATTACTTTTTTAGGTGTTTTATTTCTATTTCTTACTGAGTCATTCATTTGATATACTTTGATCCTAAAAGTAGTAATTCAAATATATTTAAAGCAAAATAATAAAATTTATGATTAATAATAAAATTTGAATTATTTTCTAAATATTTGACAATTAAACAAGTATTTAACACAATTTTGTATAGTTATGATGATGTTCATTATACGTTCTTGCTGTATAAATCCAATTTGTTCTAAGAAATTTTGATAAAAAATAAACAACAAGACTTTGACAACTGTAATGTTATTCTCAAAGTATTATTACAGAATCATGTTTATAAATCTGAAGCATTCAACATAAAAAATTGGTGTAATTTTTCTATATTTCAAAACAGTAATCAAAACTAAAAAGAGAAAGCAAACTTGACTTCAAAAAAAGAAGAATAACCAACTTCGATTAATCCCAAATGGACATTGATGTTATTTCAATCTGTGCAAAGGCATTTGTTCTGACTTAATTTGCATGTTTGACATGATAATTTAGATGCAAACTGTCAGTGTAAATAAGCAGAAGCTTTTAGGAAACAGAACATTCGTTAGCATTTGCAGTTTTGACGCTTTGTTTGACCTAAAAATTATAATCAAAAAAATATGTTCATTTAATACAAAACCCAACTGATGATTCAAAAATTTTCGAAATAATGCTTTGCTTGAAATTAAACTTATCTGGTCAGATCAAACATTTAACATAACTGCAAATATATTTTAAGGGTAAATCTTCTTGAATCTCACAAACAGCTGAATTAAATAAGATATAATTGTAAAAAGCAATATTTCTTGTCATATTATTGTTATGAATTAGAATTATCTTGTTTTGAAAAGAACTTATAAAACAAAATTATCTTACAATTAAGATAGAATTAATTCAAGAATTTTGCAAGCACTTATCAAATCTAAATTCAATTTTTCAGTTAAGACTTATTGAAAATTTATTATCATATTAAGGAGCTTAAAATTCATATTAAAATCAAAGCAACAGTCAAACAGTCATTTTCAGTACACGCACCGCCCGCCGACGGTGGGCGAAAGCCACGTCTATTTAACATAATTATTACTCGTTTGCAATCGAAGTCTTGATCTTCGTATGCATAAATTATTTTGAATCAAAAAGCAGTTAGTGAAAAAAAACGGTCAATTGAGCGCGCTATAATTTGCAATCAGAATGATTAACTTTGGATAAACTTAAGTTCAGTGAAAAGTTAATAGGTTGAATGGAAGTCATTACTTAACACTAAGTTAAAATTGTTAAAAAATTATTATTAAATATGTCTTTTTTAGGTGTTTAGCTCGGTTTTGAGTCATAAAATTTGTGGTGTAGGCAGAATTAATGAGTGATTTAAAGAATATTACATGATAATAATTAAAGTTGGACTGAAATTGAATGGGTAATTAGGTTTAGAGAAATCGGATGAACTTATTGTTTTTTAGATTTTGAAGAAAACTCGCTGTAAGAGAAACATATTAGTATTTATTTTTCATAATAAATATTCAAATATTATAAATTGTAAAAAATGAAATAAAAATGAAATTGAAAATTGGCAGAATAATGACTGTGACTAAAGATTGACAGAAATACAGAAAAATATTTAAATCAGTCAAAATACGTAAATTTTCGTTGAAATAGTACAAATTATTTACTAATGCAGAACAAAGCGTATATGAGTGAAACAAGGGACACTTCTTTAAACCGAAGTATAGCGGAAACACGAAGCAACAACAGAAATGGTAAATTTAGCGATACCGATGTAGAAAATGATGATAATTCATTAGGGACGCGATGGTCAATTACAAGTGATGACATCACATCAACAACGTCACAGTCGTCATGTTCATCTACGGATAAAGATAGTAGCAGTCAAAAAGCAACTTTCGTAACGCTTGAATCTGCGTCTTCTCATTCATCAGATTACCACACTATTGCTACTCCTGATCAATACATAATAAATGAAGAGTTACCAGATTTTGAACCAACAATAGCTGAAGCATGTGAAGAATACTCAAAATTAAACGCACGAAATATTGAGGATTGCGCTGCTACTGTTATTCTCGATAAAAATACTGTGGTAGCGCTGCTTCATATCACTGATAAATTAATAGCGACATCTCATCTCATATCATCATGTATCCAATTTAGCAATAAAAATATACATTAGAAATTAATAAAAAAGAATAAGAAATAATTCGAAAATGTCTGCTAATAAATAGCTTTGATTAAGATCACAAAAATTTTCTTTATATTTGAAAATACGATATTGAAAAAGCCTAAAAATGTCATTAATTTCAAGATTACGGTAGATTTCAAAGAATTCGCTCAAATTTCTCCATATTTTCGAGCTGCATTTTATGGTGGCTTCTCAGAGACAAAATCGAAGTTACTTATTTTTGACAGGTCTAAAGTATGTTTGTACAATAATTTAACCATTTAAGTTTACAAAAGTACCAGTGTCATATTTTGGTTGCTAATAGCACCTAATGAAAATGAAATATTACAACTCATTTGTCTATACAAAAATTTAGAGCATTTAAAACTGCTT